CCCCTCCCCCCCACCCCACCCCCTGCACGACCTTCTTTTAACCCCTGACAGGTACGACGAGTAACCCCGTCCTATTTATTTGGGAGTGCCTCCAGCTGAGCTCCAACTGTTATCCCCCCGTTTCTGTTTTTCTTAGATCCATCACTGAACATTAATTCTACCCTGATTCTAACAGTATAAAAAGCTCCTTACGTAAAACAGTGTTCATCTCATCTTGTTGTCGAACATTCACCACAATAGCACGACCGTGTTCCAGAGCAATCTGAGAATTCACTTCATCAAGAGTGGGCTCACTTGGCAGCCCAATGAGCAAAGGATCACTCATTATCTCAGCCAGCTTTTCACTGAAGAGAGACATAACTTCGGGATGAGAAAGCCCGTCAATATTTTCCTCAACTTCACCATCTTCGTCCGCCATTTTGTGTTTTCCCTCCTAGACTTCTCTCAGTTCCTGACTCTAGAACCCAGCGCCCTGGTGAAGATTTGCGCAGCTCGGCGCCTGGTTTGATTTGCCTTGATAAGATAAGATTAACACTCGACGAAGATACAGTTAATTAGATAATGATTTTAAATGGAGAGGATCTCCAGGTTACAGCTTTGTAGTCTTTTTATTCTGTATTTATATGGATGCGCCACAGGAGCAAAGAAGAAGAAAGACTTAGAAACTATTGTCGAGGTAGGTATTTACTATGAAAGCTAATTTAGCTGCAGCCATAGTTAGTACATGAAAACTTAACACAAGCTCACATGTTTTCGAATTTTGATGGCAATTGCTGAGCGATTACACTTTTATTTCGCTTATCTGTTACTTTCAAGGCTGCAACGTATATCAAAAATGTCGGTAAATCACGTTATTTCAGATAAAACTCGCGGTTTATTGTCTTGTAGTAATGTACTGCTTTGCGTTTTTACTGGCGCGCAATTTAACACTCCCAAATTTATCACCGCTGTTGATTCAACGCGTTCTGAATTTTCAAGCAACGTAAACCGTTCTAGAGGTGTTCTGTAGAAAAAAACACTAAATAAATGTCCTAGTACATAACAACGTATTGGTCAACTCGACGGCAAAATGTTGCTATCGCGAAATTCGATATTTTCATAATTAGGGGAGACGAACTGAAGTTTGTTGCAATATTGACAAGAAGCTGTAAATTGTATTCCTGTAATTCTTGCGGTGAACTGAGCAGATTAGTCGTTTTTCTGCCGAAATACGCTCTAAGAAATCTATCACCCAAATTATATAAAGCACTAACCCTAAACCCTAAATGTTATTTTCAAATTTGAGAGAAAAAAACTCAAGTTTATTTTTAGATAAGGCTCGTAATTCGTTTAGTTCCTTAAACTTCCTTTCCACCAATCTTAGAAAACTAGTTGCAAATACTGAAATGTTTAACATTTTTTCAGATTCACAGCAACCACAGAAAAAAAAGAGGCTATTTGTTTTGCTGTACTTTTATTTTGTCTTTCCTGACTCATTGTTAGAGTATTATTTGAGAAAAATTGCTTAAATAAGTTCTTTCTGCTATGTCTCTGGTGTATTGCTTTGTTGACACTTTGCATATTTAAGACACAGCAGGTGATGTCAGTTGATGCTGAGAATCAATTATGCATGACAGTTCTCATCACTAAGCAGTGATTTTTATCTTAGCTTTTAAAATCAATTATTCATGATATAATTATTGTGGTTACAAATTGGTCTGCATAATGCCTCAAAAAATGTTCACTCTGGTTTGCATAGACTGATTTAATCAGGAATTTATCAACAAAAGTTTTTAAATAGTTCTTCATTTTCAGGAGTGAATCATTTATGATAAAATGGAAGTGCAGCTAAATAAACAGAGACTTATATACCTCAATTATAATTATGTTGAATTTCAGTATGTCTGCCTGAAATTGTCTTTTTTACTTTCTCTTTTACATTTTTCTTAAATAACAGTCAAGTAAAAATTACATGAAACTCTCCATGTGACTTCTCGCAAACACTGTCTTTTACTAAAATCATTAATATACAATAATGTTCCATTTTGCAATTTTAATAAAGTAAGATTTTTTTCAAAGTAAGTAAGTCTGTTATCAAATGATTTAAGTTGTTATGTTGAGAAATAATGTGTCAAAGTCAAGGTTATTACCTGGAGATGATCCACAAGAAATATGTGATGACTGATCATGACTTCCAGGCATTTTTAACTTTTCTCACGTTTAATTAAGTTATATGTTTCAGATTCTCATGACATAATGTGGCCAAATGATGAAATAGGGGAAAGGACTAACAGTTAAAAAGCTGATGATTATAAAGAATTTCTTCTTTCGCTTTGTAGTACAAGCCTGGCAACTGCAAAGACAAAGCAGATAATGGAGACATTGTATCTGTTCACTACACGGTGTGTATTTCTCGTGTTAATTTTGAAACAGTAACAGTGGCGTTAATGTTAAGGCCTCAATCAAATCATGCATTAACAGAGGCTTTGAACATAACAAATACTAATCAGACCATACCGACTCCATATAAGGTACTACTGAGTACAATTAGAAATTCACTTTTAATTTTTTAGTAACATTATTTTATTGAATCACTTAAATGTGAATATCAATGACTGTTTCAGGGTAAGCTCGAAAATGGCCAAATGTTTGATTCGTCTCTTGCAAAAGGAAGAGAACCCCTTGAATTTCAGCTGGGCAAAGGAAAGGTCATAAAAGGTAACTTTTGCAAACCTTTCTTGATGTACAACCACAAAATGCAATCAAATCTGTATCAGTACTTTGGTTGGTTATAGCCTAAGACTTCTTAATAATAAAATTATTTTAAAATTTTCCTTTTTGGTAGGTTGGGAGATGGGCATAAAAGGAATGTGCATTGGGTAAGTTTCTATAATTTAGAAGATACATGTAAACATGGATTGATTGACTGACTGATTAACGGTTTGATTGACAGACAGACAGACTGATTGACTGCCCAGCTGATTGATTGAATGCCTCAGTGCCTGAATGATTGACTGTCTGATGGACTCACTGATTGATTGAGTGGCTGGCTAATTGACGATTGGTTGTAAATATGTAATGTAAAGCCAGCATAATGTAGGAGTCAATGAACAAGTCTGCAAGTTAACTATTGCCTTGAACCCCTTTTTTGCATATTATTCTAACTCATAAAGAAACTAGTAAAATGTTGATGACATCCTTGTTTCATTTCAGTGAAAAAAGGAAGTTGATTATACCTCCACATCTAGGGTATGGGACTCGTGGAGTTGAGAATGTCATTCCTCGTGAGTACATGTGTTTTGATCAAACTTAGACTTTAACTTCCAATTAACCAAGGCCCTAGTATTTTTAGAGGACAATATTTAATGAATGCGCATTCCGGGAAATATCCGCACCCTGGTCCCATGTGGACATGTCTAGCCTCAAAAACAACCGGTCTAGGTGTTCACTTGACGACAGTCCAGTTTGGGAACAGAATGGTTCTAGAACTGTGGATGTGGGCTCAGTGTGCAAAACAAGTGGTATCAGATAGCCTAGGACTAGTGAATTTTAAAATCAGCCTAGTTGATTCTTTCCTTTGTTTGCCCGAGGGGAGAGCGACATTTTTTGGAGAAATCTTTAAGGACATTCAGTTACAGAGGTATAGCCGTGTCCTGTTAAACAATTAGATTATGAGCCGGAGTTTTCTACCAGCAAATAGTCAACAAGGCGCAGCCAAGTCGACTATCGCTCATAGAAAACAAGGGTGAGTAGTCTGATTGTTTTTAGATGTTCTAGAGGATTACAGCAAAAAACCTACAATTGTGTATTTTAAGCCTCAGATTAAGAATAATTTTCAGTTTCAAAAGTAGAGTATGTGCGATCAGTTTATCAGC